TTAACTTTCTGCTCTTGGTTGTTTACCCGAGATTTTCACCAGGTTGCGGAAGTGGTACAGTTCTTGTTGCTGTCCAAAACTAGCCTGAGACTACTCAACTTTTACTCTCAATTTAGCTCCTTCCGCCAATTACATAGTACCTAAACCTAAGGGGGAGGCAGAAGGCAAAGGACATATGGCTCTGTTCGTAAGAAACCTGGAGTTACTTTTCTTTTTATCAAGTAAGAAAAAAAAGAGAAAAGAAAAGAAAAAAGAAACTAATCATACTCTTTTCATGTAATACTTGGAAAAAATCAATGCTACCTGAAGAATCAGAGGTATTGAAACTCTATAAGAGATGAAATGTATCATCAATTCTTTTTTTGGAATGTACAGAATACTGAAATTATTTTGACCTTGTACATAGTATCCAGGTTGTACCATGTGGTTTAAGTAATGGTTTTAGCACCAAAGGGAGAAAAAACCAGAAGCCTATGTGGAAGCACAGTCTAGCTTCTGAGACAACGCAGCATGCTGTGGCGATGCTGGTCCCAAAACAGCTGAACAGAGCCATAGAGTTTGCTAGAGGGGTCCTCTGCCCCCTGCCTCCCAGGGCCCGACGGGTCCCTCCACTTCTAAAAGGAGATTTAGAAGAGGAGGAAGGAGACGCGGGTGCGGCGCGCATCTCCCTTGCCCCGTCGGGCCATCCCGAACTGTCACATGTTCCCCTCCGAGCCCGACCCCCCGCCGGTGGCCGAGTTGTTTCCTGAGCCAGACAGGTCGTCTCCGTCGGAGCGGTATGGTGAGTTCCCTCTTCCTCTGGGGCTTAAGCCACGGAAGTCCAGATTGTACTGTGGAAAAGGGGTCTGTGTAAGTCTGCGTTTGCACTGCTGCGTTATTGGGCATTAATGTGGAAATTCAATGGGAACAAAAGAAGAAAAATAAAAAAGTAAATCTTTTGATAAATAGGGAATTTCATGAATTATTTCACATCTCTGAAACTGATCATAGGTAATGTACTGAAGGTTTATATTCAATAAGCTTCCTTTACAAAAATAACTACCCATATAACCAAAACAAAATCATAAAAGTTCCTTTTTTTAGCAATATTCTTATTAGTACAAAAAGCACTTGTAAATACAATTTCAAATGTTAATGCTTTATTATGGAGACTGATTCTACAGCATTAAAATATTCTAATCAACTGCCTGCTGATGAATTTTTAAATTGATAAAAGCAAACAATGTTAATCTATATTCACTGCCTATGTTAATTCATCTATACACCATGAATAAATACAGTATATTTTTAAAATATATACAAAATGCATACCTGTAATAACTTGAAAAAAGCATAAAGAATACTACACACAGTGTACATATAAATAATCGTAAGGAGGGATATCAAAAAGTAATGATCTATTCAATCCAATATATTACTTTCAATCAACCAGAATGAGTTCAGTAGATCCGTTGAGTCGCAGGTTGTTGAAATCATCATTCCCACATTGAAGAAATGATCAGCTGATCAGTGTCACCATACGCGGACTGGAAGACAACACTGAGACATGCATATCTGGACATGGATCATGCAGACACATACAATAAAACAGTAACAGAAAATAGAACACGGGGAAAACACACAGGCACATGCGGCACGTTAGTAAAGGCAGGTTAAGTGTGGTGGCAAGTGGCTAATTATGATGCCATTTTTTGGTTATGCTGTCAGTCACCAGTGTTGCTGAAGAGCCATCCTTTGTGATATCAATGCTTTAAAAATGCTGATTTCAGAGCTTAATGTTTACTTGGAATCATACATCACTAATCTTGCAGAGAGGATGAGATAGGGGCGGAGGGGGAGAGGAAGAGAGGAGGAGAGAGAGAGAAAGAAATGAGAGGGAGAGAAAGAGAGGGGGGAAGGGAGGCAGGAGAAGAGAGAGAGAGAGAGAGAGAGAGAGAGAGAGAGAGAGAGAGAGAGAGAGAGAGAGAGAGAGAGAGAGAGAGAGAGAAAGAGAGAGAGAGAGAGAGAGAGAGAGAGAGAGAGAGAGAGAGAGAGAGAGAGAGAGAGAGAGAGAGAGAGAGAGAGAGAGAGAGAGAGAAGAAAAGAATATTAACAAAACCACAAGAGATTATCTCTCCTCCACTGATGACTGAGCAGTGGACTGATTGAAGGTCCTATTCTAAGTTCAACTTACTGAGAGACGGCAACACTTACGAAGGATACTGCTGCAGACTGGACTCATGCTTAACGAAGAACTTCATACATAAAGGACTGAATGTACCAAGTTATATATGCTTTAAGAACAAGGACATGTATAGATTTTCAAGCAAGATCAAGTTGAAAATCAAAAGAAAAAAAGAAAAAAAAGGTTACACTGACACTTTATTTCTTCTAAACTGGGACAAGGCTTGGGACAATCAAAAAGGAGATCAATTTCTTTTACATTCTATCTCTCAAATTTGGATGTGACATGTAGAAAAATAGATATGACTGTCTCATCGGAAAGTTCATGTAATCTATC